AATTATAACAATCCAGAACCAAACACCTTACTTTTCTTAACACAAGATTCAAAACCGGAAACTGTGTGGGCTCAAATATGACCATTATTTTTGAGGGCAGAACTGCCCAAGAACAAAAAGATGGTGGGGTTCTTAAAGGGAGAGTGTTTTTCTTTTCATTCCTGTCACCCATTAACTGTAGAATTACCATAAAAAATAAAACATTTATCTGCTTTTTGGTGAGTGGTAAAAGTAATCTCTCACATAATTAATAAACTAAACAGTTAATTAATCAGAAACGAATAACCTGGAATATTAAACTAATTATATTTCCTTTATCATCTCTTTAAAAGATGGGGAAAAACAAGCTCCCATCAATTCAGTCAAAAGATCAGATCTCTGTGTAGGTTCTGAGGTTGGTGGAGATTCATCTTAGTATCTGAGTCCTAACAATGTCTACAGTGATCAGAGACAAAAAGAACAAGGACTCAACTTGAAAAAATCTTAACATATTTAAAAAAATTAAATAAGGTACCTTCTACTTGAAGAAAAAAAAATTTTTTTTTTTTTTTTTTTTATCCGCACCCGAGGACATTTTTCCATTTTTTGTTCAGGTAGAGCGGGAGGGAGAGAGAGGAACAGAGAGAGAAACATCGATGTGAAGGGACACATCGAGTGGCTGCCACCTGCACGACCAACCAGGGCCGGGGACAAACCGCAACCGAGGTATGTGCCCTTAGCGGGACACGAACCCAGGTCTCTCTGGACCGCAGGCCGATGCTCTAACCGCTGAGCCAAACCGGCCAGGGCAAAAAAAATTTTTTTTAATCCTTACCCGAGGACATTTTTTCTCTATATTTTGTTCAGACAGAGTGGGAAGGAGAGAGGGAGAGAGGGAGGAAGGGAGGGAGGGAGGGAGAGGGAGAGGGAGAAGGGGAGAGAGAGAGAAAGAGCGAGAGAGAGAAACATCGACGTGAAAGGGACAGTGAAAGGGACACATCGAGTGGCTGCCACCCATAAGACCCAACCAGGGCCGGGGACAAACTGCAACCGTGGTACATGCCCTTAGCGGGAACTGAACCTGGGTCTCTCCGGACCGCAGGCTGATGCTCTAATCGCTGAGCCAAACCAGCCAAGGCTGAAGGAATTTTTAACAAGGGTGAAAAAAAAAACTTTCTGGGACTACTTAGATACTGTGAAAATCCAATTAAACAGACCAGGACATCCCCTAAAAATTCTGGCTATGCACAGTTTCACTGTAATATGAAACACAAGTTCTGAAATTTACAGCCAAGCTCCTTAGAGAATTTTAATTCACGCCTTTAACAAACTAAAACAAACAAACACAACATAAACAACACCACAAAAACCCACCACCTCAAATGATTTAGGGGTTTACCTGTCCAGCTACTAGGAAAGTAAAATATCTTAGGATGTATTTAAGTTTTATATCCTATTCATTAACTAAAATATGGAAAAATTAAGATATAAGGATCTATGACTAAAACCACAAGATTTTGTGGCAACAGAAACTACTTGATCAAAATACCTTTTACATATTACATGGAGACAGTGATTTTATTAATAAAAAAGAAAGCCCATAGAATTCACAAATAATTAAAGGCAGCAGAAGTTACTATGAAATTGGAAGGCTATAAACAGGTGCCGCTAATACTGTTGCTTCCTTGACCCCCTATGGTGACTTGCTGGAGTTAGTGTAGCAGGCATGAATGTAGGATCCACCTAAAGGTATTTGGAGTGATCTTTTTGGTCCTCAGAGATCTACGTCATGTTTGTGGTCCTCAACTGAACCATCCTCCTAAGAGTTCTCTAAAACAAAGGCAGTGTAGACCAGGATGGCCTGGTGCAATGAACTATGGCATAACACATCTCTTCTCCAAATCCCAAGAGGGCCCATAAAAGCCTCTCCTGGACACTAAAATCTCACTTGGAGAGCTCATTTGTTTCCTCATTTGGTCAACTTTCTATTATAGCAGTACTTTATGCTTATGTAATGAATTCTGAACTTGACCCACAACCATTCAGCTTAATTTATCTGTCTGTCTACTGATCTATCTCCCTTCTATAAATTTTGAACTCTTCGGCAATTCTTAAAAGCACCCATCCATTTAAAATCTGCTTTTGAGTTTCAATGACTAATAATTACAATCCAGACATGTTCAGAAACACTTCTCAGGGAGATCTACTGTCCTTAGTTTCCAGGACTATCAGATTACACGTTGCTATATTATGCCATCTTTTCCTTTTGTCCCTACTCCTTCCTTTCAAACTCCTCTCTGCACTTCTGCCATCTTGGGCAGACAATTCTTGCTTAAAATAAACCTATACCACTGGTCCTTGGCTCAGTCATTTTCCTCTGTAATGACTCCTCAATGCTGCCAGGAGGTATGCCTGCTGCTTGGTGACTGTCACACCTGTCGTCAAATCCCTGAAACAACTTCCTACTCCTCATTTTAACCTTGACTTTCAATCACAGATTTTCATGCCTATCATGGTCTAGCAGCAGAACTACTGTAAGAACATACAGTCCCCCCAAAAAGACCTAGATATTTAGGATCCTGGAAGAATTTGTTCTTCCTCTTATCCCAACATTTCCTTTGAATTCCTAATATATAATTTTGAATTTTTAGTGTAATATCTTATGATTGTTGCTTCTGGTTTTTGTTGTTAAATTTCTAGATCCTTCATGGACTCGATTCAAACTAGATTGTTTATTACTTCTCAAAATTATTCCTTACTGGACCACCTCCTTATTACCCGTTATGACATAACACTATTCCCAGACACTTCTCTTCATTTCAAGCTCCAGTCAATCTATTCTTTTTTTTTATTTTTTTTATCCTCACCTGAGGGCATTTTTCCATTTTTTGTTCAGATAGAGCGGGAGGGAGAGAGAGGAAGAGAGAGAGAGAGAGAGAGAGAAACATCGATGTGAAGGGACACATCGAGTGGCTGCTACCTACACGACCAACCAGGACCAGGGACAAACTGCAACCGAGGTACATGTCCTTAGTGGGAACCGAACCCGGGTCTCTCTGTACCGCAGGCCGATGCTTCAACCGCTGAGCCAAACCGGCCAGGGCTCAATCCATTCTTTAACGCCCATTTCAAACAAACCATTCCAAGTTTTACATGTCTGAATTTAAAGTGAGCAAGTATTTCTTAACTCAAAGTATATATTTTATAACTATAAACATTTAATTTATCCAATAATAGAATTATTTTCTACCTCCTCCCCAATTCTTTTAGCACACTCGCAGGCATCCTATTGGTGGGTTATCAACATATTTGTTCAATTAACCAGTTTTCCCATTAACGTCAACATCATTTCCTGCTGCCACTTGAGTAACTTAGAAAACAGACCTCACCAAATACGCTTCAAGCCAAGATGTCTCCTAAAGATCACAGTCAAATCCCTGTAATTACATCTACCACTTACAGCTATGAGCCAAATGCTTTACAATTATTATCTCTAATCTTCCTGGATGAAGAAATTTAGGACTCGAGAAGTAACTTGCCCACAGATTGTAAGTGGTGAAGCCAAGATTTGACCCAGGTCTGTCTAGCTTCAAAACCCATGCTTTCCCCATAAAATGTAGCTATTCTGTCAACTTATTTGGGCTCTGAAGAAAACTGGGAATTTTAACTTAAATCTCAGGCATATATGTCTCACAATAACAAACCCCTCCACTTTGTCTAGTAAAACCCTTAAGAAATGAAAGCTCTATTGTACAAAATGATTCTTTTCCTGTCTTTCACTCTAAGTCAGTATTCACACTAAACAATTTATTGAGGACTTTTTCCTTAGTAAGGTGTTCTTCCTAACAATCAATTTGAAATAACTTTTTAAAACCCAGACAAAAATTTGAGTATATGGTAGCTACAGATTTTTCTCAAATATGCAACTTATATTTAGATATCTTCCATTGCTTCTCAAGTGTCAGTTACACTGGTGAGTAACTGTAGCCACATTAGACCTGTTGCAAAGCAGGACTTAAAAAAAGGGGGGGGGGGCCAAGAGTGTCTCTAACACCCAAGGTTCAGTATCCTAAACTGTTCCCCTTACTCCTTTTAATTCTTATATCCATGCCTTTGAAGTCCTAAACTGTTTTCCCTGAAACACACAGCCCCTGCGGGCCCTGCTCTGCCAAAGGAGATTAGGAATACAATAACAGGCCCTATACCCAGGGAGGCAGTAAGCAATTTCGAGCTGTGGGTCCGCGTCTACGTTAGCTAGTTGACGCACACACTAGCCAGGGTGGACACTATTCTCCAACGAATGCTACAACGACAAAGCAATGTTTTGGCAAGCTGGAGAACGGAAACCACAGCCTGGAAACTGTACAGTCTTAAAGATAACGAGTTAAGACGTTAATTTACCCTTGTAAAAGGAACGGTGAGGGCTTTCAGCACGGCAAGACGATACTTTCGAAACTGTCACTAGACTACTCAAACCGCAGTCTCCCGCCCAAAAAAGTGTGGCACATGGCAAGTCTAAACAAGGCCTCTCTCCAGAGCTTCCATCCCCGGGAAAGACGCGCTGTAACCGTCTGATTCATTAGACTGGGGAAGAGGTGAAAACGAGGCAGGAAATCGAGACTGTTTATTTCCAGGAGCCCTGAGGGCGGGAAAGGTCGGTCTCTAGCTGGAGAAAAACCAGGCCCTAGTCCCAGTACGTGGGGAGGAAAATCCCGGGCCTCCGCGGCGCCCTAAAGCTACGCACTCCCGCCTGGAGCCCCAATCCCACTCGGGTTTTCCTTCTCCGGGTCCCACTATTGGCCTCACCATTGCTCCCGTTTCCCTCCACCACCCCCACCCGCGCAGGCGCAGTGGGAACCCGGGCCTACCCGCGCCCCGAGGCGCCGCGACTATGGCGGAGCCGGACTAGGCCGGCAGCAGCTTCGCACCGGGCAGGCGTCCCTCTTCGGTCCCCGCGGCCTCCCCACCACCGACGGGACCCTGCCCCCCCCCCGGACGGCCCCACCTTGCGCCCTCCTCACCCGTTCTTCAGATCCACCTCCAGAATCTTCCCATAGCCCTTAAAGAAGCGCTCCACATCGCGCTCCCGGGCCTGGTAGCTCAGGCGGCCGATGTACACCCGCGGCATCCCGGCAACGGCGGCGGCAGCTTGGCCCGGCCCCAGCCCCCTTAGGCGGCGGCCGGCAAAGCAAGAGCACGGCGACGGCGGCGACGGCGGCGACGGCAGCAGCGGCGACGGCAGCAACGGGCGGGCGGCGAGACCGACGCAGCCGAACCCCGGCGACGTACGCGAGCACGCAGTTCTCGAGCGCGCGCTTCCCGCCTCCCCCGCCCTCCCCGCGGGCTGGGGGGAAACGGGAGGGAGTGCGCGTTCGCTTCCCGCCCAGCCTGGGTTGGAGGCGGGGCTTGCCAGGGGTTGCGCTGGCGCGAGGCGGGGCCAGGTGACCGACAGGCGGCTCAGGCGGTGCGGGGCCTTTCGCTCCCCCGGCGCGTCCTCTCGCGAGCTTGGCGTGGCGAGGCCTGCACCGCCTTCCGCAGCCGCTAGCTTTGCCCCTCCGGCGGAAGTGCCGGCGCTTCCTCGCGCGCCTCGGCAGCGTGCGTGCTTGTGAGTTTAGAGCCGGAGCCCTGGATTAAAGCTGGCTTCTCGCTGGCTACATATCTGTGACCTTGGGCTCGCTACGCGCCATTTCTGAGCCTGAGACTCGTTTGCCTTTGTAAAAGGGGGATAGAATTTCCAACCTTCCAGTTGTCTTAAATTATTACGTAAAGCACTTTGTACTGTCCTCAGCACTTCGCAAGTGCTCAATAAATAATGCCATTATTTAAAATATAGGACACTTTGCTTCAGTAGAAGCAGTGTGGAAAGTGGAGAAGGCTGGAGCTTTGGGGCGAGATTACGCTTGACATAGACCAAATCACTTGACCAATTTAACCTTTCTAACTTGTAAAATTAGAATAGTTTATCCCACCTCAATGTAATACCAGAATAACTAAATGAGGTGGTGTATGTGGAAGAGCTTGTAACAATACCTGGAACGTGGAGAAGCTCAATAAATATTGGTTCCCTTCTCACTAACCCAGTTTACCTAGAACCACGAGTTTGTTTTTTTTTTCTTTATGTATTCATTTTTTGAAAGGATAATTCATTAACTGACTCAGGTGCTATACAGTGAAAAGTCTTCCCATCTCTCCTCTGGCTGCCTAGTTTCCCTCCCCAGAGACAATATAATCAGTCTCTTAAATGTCCTTTGGAGGTATTTTACACACAAAAAGCAAATAGTGTACTGTACATACAATTCTGCTCTTAATGTATTTTGAAAATCATTCCGTAAGAGTACAAAAGGAGCTTCCTCAGAACTATTTTTATGGTTCATACCATTTATATATATATATATATATATATATATATATATATATTTTTTTTTTTTAGAGAGAGGAAAGCAGAGAGAGAAACATCAGATCAGCTGCCTCCTGCACACCCCCCACCAGGGATCAAGCCTGCAACCTGGGCAGGTGCCCTGACTGGGAATCAAACAGGAATCTCTCAGTCCATGGGACAATGCTCAGTCCACTGAGCCACACTGGCCAGGCTTGGCTCACACCATTTTATTTTTTTTTTATTTTTTATTTTTTTTAATCCTCACCCGAGGATATTTTTCCATTTTTTTTGTACAGATAGAATGGGAGGGAGAGAGAGTGAGAAACATCGATGTGAAGGGACACATCGAGCGGCCGCCACCCGCACGACCAACCAGGGCCAGGGACAAACTGCAACCGAAGTACGTGCCCTTAGCGGGAACCGAACCCGGGTCTCTCCGGACCGCAGGCCAACGCTCTAACCGCTGAGCCAAACTGGCTAGGGTGCTCTCACACCATTTTAAACACAGAAATTTATTTAATCACTGCCCTAGTGAAGGACACTGAGATAAGTTCAACCCTTTTGTTATGACTGTTGCAGTAACTTTGTCTATACATATATGTAGAATCTATTCCTAGAAGTACTCAAAGGGTGTGGGCAAATGCCGTTTTGATAGCTATTGCTCAATTCTCTATCTCCTCATCAACAGTTATCAAACTTTATAATCTTTGTCAATCTGACAGCTGAAAAATGGTATCTTGGATAGTGTAAATTGAAGTTATTTTAAGTGGAGAGAGCTTTATTTCATATGTTTAAGAGACACTAATATTTTACTTTCTGTGTTTATATCTTTTGACCATTTTTCCTATTTTATCATAGGAGCTCACAATGTAATAGGGAAATCAACTCTTTGTCAAATGAGTTGCAAATTTTTTTTCCCTAGTTGGTTGACTTTTGACTTTGCCTAGTGTTTTTTTGCATGCAAAAACATTAGATATTTATGGGGTCAAATTTCTCCATTCTTTATTTTTCTTTGAATATGGATTTTGTGCTGTAGTTTGAAAGGCCTTCCTCACACTGAGGTTTTTCTTTTTAAAGAAACAATCAAAACACCTCCCATGGTTTATTCTGTTACTTTTAGGGATTATTTTTGTATTGTAATTTTTTTTTTTTTTTTTTTGGTACGTGCCCCTAGCTGAACCCGGGACTTTCTGGTCTGCAGGCCCATGCTCCAACCGCTGAGCCAAACTGGCCAGGGCTGTATTGTAATCTTTGATCCATTTGGAATTTAGTAAAGTATGAAGATCATAATATTCTTAAGAACTAGCATTAACCTTGGTTGTCATATAATCTGCTCAGCCTACTGGGAAAAGCCTGTCTCTAAAATCTGTTCCCCTCCGGCCGGTGTTGCTCAGTGGTTGAACGTTGACCCATGCACCAAGAGGTCACCAGTTCGATTCTCAGTCAGGACACATGCCCAGGTTGTGGGCCAGATTCCCAGGGCGGGGCATGCAGAAGGCAGCCAATCGATATTCTCTCTCATCGATATTCTCTCTCATCGATGTTTCTATCTTTCGCTCCCTGTCCCTCCCTCCCTCTCTCTCTCTCAAATCAATAAAGAAAAATAAAATAAAATAAAACAAAATAAATAAAATCTGGTCCTCCTCTGGAGTTCCCCAACTCCAGGAGTGGCACCTCTAACCAGCAAAGTGCCAAAATTCAACCTTCAACCACCACATTCTGTCTATCCTTTTGATTTTTCCTTCTAAATATTCATGAATCTATTCATTTCACTCTACTTCCACTTAGTAAGCTAGTTCAGGCCTCATCATACTGTTCACATAATCAGGGCTTTAAAACATTTAAAAAAATGTTTTTGGAGAGAGAGATAGAAACATCGATGTGAGAGGAAAACATTGGTTGGCAGCCTCCTGCACACCCTCTACTGGGGATTGAGCCTGAAACCGGGCATGTACCCTGACCTGGACTCGAACCAGCACCTCAGTCCATACATAGGAGGACACTCAATCCACTGAGCCACACCAGCGGGCTATAGCAGGGCTTTTAGGTGTGCTCTTCCCTCTGTCTGGAATATGGCTGGCTCCTTATTCAGTTCTCAGACCTTCCTTGCCCACCTTATCCCAACTACCCCCCAACCCCAAGCACACTATATCACTCAAAATTTTTTCCATAGCACTTTCACACTTAAAAAAGTTTTTTTTTAATCCTCACCTGAGGATATTTTTCTATTTATCTTCAGATAGAGTGGGAGGGAGAGAAAGGGACACAGAGAGAAACATTGATGTGAGAGGGCCATATCCACTGGTTGCCTCCCGCACGACCCCAACCAGGGCCAGGGACAACCGCAACCAAGGTACATGCCCTTGACCAGAATCGAACCCATGACTCACTGGTCCGCAGGCCGATGCTCAACTGCTGAGCCAAACCAGCCAGGGCACTTATTATACTCTTATTACCTTATTTGTTCGCTTGTTCACTGTCTTTCTCCTCCACTAGAATATAAGTTCCCTGGTATCAGGGGCCATGTTTTTTTGTCTCCTGCTTTATCCCTAGCACCTGAAACAGGGCTTTTTCACACAATGGGTGTTCAAAATATTTACTGAATGAATACAAGAATGATCTGGACTACTTCAATGGCCTCCTGATTCTCCCCCTTTTTTTCTTGCCTCCCTGAGACACAGACCCAGGGAAATTTGAACTCTTCTGATTGACATGTTAATTATCATTGAATAAAATCAAAGAATCCTGAGAAAAGAGAGAGCTCAAAGCCAACTGTGGGGCCAAAAAAATTGTTACTGACTGATATGGTGACCAGACAGGATAGGGGACCTGGTGTCTGGTGGAGCTCTGCTGTTTGCTGTGACCTTAAGCAACTCACCTCACCTCTCTCAGCGTCTTCCTCTTCTGTAAAGTGGTGCTATTAAAATTTCAACGATATGCCCTAGCCAGTTTGGCTCAGTGGTTAGAGCATCAGCCTGCAGACCTGAGAGTCCTGGGTTTGGTTCCCGCTAACGGCATGTACCTTGATTGCAGTTTGTCCCTGGCCCCTGTTGGGGTCGTGTGGATGACAACCAGTCGATGTGTCTCTCTCACATCGATGTTTCTCCCTCTCTCTTCCTCCCTCTCTCCCGCTCTATATGAAGATAAATGCAAAAATGTTCTCGGGTGAGAATAAAACAAACAAACAAACAAAAAATCTCAGTGATACAGGGAAGTTGTAAAAATTGAATTAAGATGCATGTCAAAATGCTTGTACACGGCAGAGGGTTAGGGACATAGGGAGAACTTTCTTCCCTTTCAGGGGTGCCAGTCTCTCCTTCCCACTTACCTTCCCAGGAGTTTCCTGCCTTCAAATGAAGGCAGATGCTATACCAGGACTGGGTTTCTCTTTTCTACCATCTCCAGCTGCTCTGGCTGGGACCAGTGTCCTACTCAGGGCATGGCACCTGCCAATAACCATGTGGATGGTGGGTACTGCTGAGAGCTTCTAGGCACAAGGACTGGGACATCTGGCACACGCAGGTTGATGCAAGAACTTTTTTCTTCTGGGCCTCAGTCTTTCCTTGAGGAAAGCAGGCTTAAATGATCTCATCTCCCAAGACACAAGACAGTCATCAATATTACAGCAGTGGCTGTAGATTGTCACAGGGTAGGTAGGTGTTCCCAGAAGACACCACAGAGAGCCAGAGTCACGAAGCCTTAGGGTTAGGACGCAGTGCCGGTTTGTCTTCTTTTAGTCTCCTGGAGCCAAAGGTTCCTCCTTTAACCATTAAAGTGATATTGTTTAGTTAGTGGGCCCGAAGAGCTGTCCCAACTTTACAGAGAGATTATTCAGCCTGAAAATGAAAAATAACCTCCTGTACTTGCAAAGTATGGGAGAAACGATCCATTTTAAGTCAGATTCTCTTTTTGTTTTTTTCTTTTTAAGAGAGAAACATCGATGTGAAAGAGACACATCAACTGGTTGCCACCTACAGGACCCCAGCCGGGGCCAGGGACGAACTACAACAGAGGTACGTGCCCTTGACTGGAACCGAACCTGAGACTCTGGTGTGTGGGCCGATGCTCTAACTGCTGAGCCAAACTGGCCAGGGCAGTTAGATTCTCTTTTGACATTTGACATTGTCTTGTCTCAGTCTCCTTTCCTCTACTGGCCTCTTAAATGTCGGTAATCCCTATGTTGGTCTTCAAAATTTTAGGAAGCCCTGGCCAGTGTGGCTCAGCTGGTTGTGTGTTGTACTGAGCATCAAAGGGTTGCAGGTTTGATTCCTGGTCAGGGCACATGCCCAGGTTGCGAGTTCGATCCCTGTTTGTGGTGAGTGGCATGCAGGAGGCAACTGATCAATGTTTCTTTCTGTCTCTCTCCCTCCTTCTCCCTTCCTCTCTCTCTAGAATAAAAACATATTTTTAAAAAATTTACAAAGATTTTACTTATCTAAAGTTCAGAAGCATGGGCATTTCTGATTTTATCCTTATTCAGTGCTTCCCTTCTCCAAATTCTCCCCCAACCTGCTGCCAGAGATTTTTCTAAAGTACAGTTTGACCTTCTGGCTCAGAATCTTTTGTTTTTACTGCCAATGGGATATAGTCCACATTCCTTAGCTGGGAATCACAAACAGCCACAATTCACTTTTTCAGCTTCAAATCAACTGACTTGATTTCAATATAAATTGGATCATGGAATATGTAGCAGTTATGATTAGGTTCCGAGAAAGCCCAAACACGAGGGGGTTAAATAACATAGAAGCTTATTACTTCTTTTTTTAAAGTTGATTTTTAGAGAGAAAGCGGAAGGGAGAGAGGAACATCAATTTGTTGTTCCACTTATTTATGAATTCATTGGTTGATATTTTTTTAGAAAATACTTTTTGTATTAATTTTTTAGAGAGACAGAAACATCGATGTGAGAGAGAAACATCAATCGGCTGCCTTCTCCCCCCCCCTCCCCCCTGGGATCAAGCCTGCAACCTGGGCATGTGTTCTGACTGGGAATTGAACTGGGACCTCAGTCCATGGGATGACGCTCAATCCACTGAGCCACAACCAATCCACTGAGGTGTGCCATTGGTTGATTCTTTTTTTTTTTTTTATCCTCACCTGAGGATATTTTTCCATTTTTTGTACAGATAGAGTGGGAGGGAGAGAGAGGAAGGGAGAGAGAGAGAAACATCGACGTGAAGGGACACATCGAGTAGCTGCCACCCGCACGACCAACCAGGGCCGGGGACAAACTGCAACCGAAGTACGTGCCCTTAGCGGGAACCGAACCCAGGTCTCTCCGGACTGCAGGCCAACACTCTAACCGCTGAGCCAAACCGGCCAGGGCCATTGGTTGATTCTTGTATGTGCTCTGACCAAGGATCAAACCTGCAATTATGGTGTGTCAGGATGATGCTCTATCAAACTGAACTACCTTGCCAGGGCCTAGAAACTTGTTTCTTTCTTTTTTTTGGTTAATCCTCACCTGAGGATATTTTCCCATTGATTTTTAGTGGAAGGGAGGGAGGGAGAGAGAGAAAGAAATATCGATGTGAGAGAGATACATAGATTGGTTGCCTCCTGCATGACCCTGACTGGGGCTGGGGATCACACCTATTACCCAAGCATGTGCCCTCGACTGGGAATAGAATCCATGACTCTTTGGTCCATAGGCTGATGCTCTAACCACTGAGCAAAACCAATCAGGGAGAAGCTTATTTCTTTTTTTAAAAATAATTTTTGTATTGATTTTTTAGAGAGAGGAAGGGAGAGAAAGATAGAAACATTGATGTGAGAAACACTGATCAGCTGTCTCCTGCACGCCCCCTACTGGGGATTGAGCCTACAACCCAGGCATATACCCTAACTGGGACCCAAACCGGGACCTCTCAGTCCATGGGAAGACACTCAATCCACTGAGCCATACTGGCCAGGCAGAAGCTTATTTCTCAGGTAAAACTTATTTCTCAAGTCCTGAGGTGGGCAGTCAGGGTTTCTGGGTGTCATGGACCCAGGCTACTGTGATCTCATTGCTGTTCCATTCTAAACATGGTCAAAGACGGCTGTGCAAATTCCAGGAATCATGTCTGTATTTCAGCCAGGAGGAAGGTGGAAGGGGAAGAAAAAGTTCAGGATAGATGTCAGCTATATTTTAAAGAGGTTCCTAGGAAACTGACACCCACCCCCTCTGCTTACATCACAAGGGACAGCCCTTGTCTGCTGCAGGGGAAGCAGGGGAGCAGTGTTTATTCCAGCCTGCCATGTGCCCACCTAAAAGTCATCAGTTTTAAATCTTAGGAAGATCTATAACTTTGCTTAATCGGGTCCCTTACTCTGTAATGCTTGTCTCCCTTTCCTGTTTGAGGAAACAATAATCACCCAACCCAGCCCAGCTGGTGTGCCTCAGTGGATTGAGCATCGTCCCATGGACTGAAAGGTTCCAGTTCGATTCCTGGCCAGGGCACATGCCCGGGATCTCCAGTGGGGGGGCATGCAGGAGGCAGCTGATTGATGTTTCTCTCACATCAATGTTTCTATCTCTCTCCTTTAAAAAAAAAAAAGCCCAACCCAAATGTCATCTTTAGGCTCTCTTGGGCCTCCAACTACATGTGCTTTGCTTGGTGCACCTTTTCCTGCCAGGCCTTCAAAGTTTGCTGTGCCCTGGCCAGTGTAGCTCAGTTGGCTGGGCATCGTCCAGTGCACCAAAGGGTCGCTGGTTCAATTTCCAGTCAGGACTTCTTTCGGGAAGCCTTCCTTAAACCCCAGGCAGTGCTGCTGTGTCCCCACTGCTGTGAACACCTCTGTATCTGTCCGTCTATTGTAAAGGTCTGTACCCTGCTGTAGGCTTAGGGCCAGCCCCACATCTCTCATGGGCATCCACAGACTCAGGCACACACACTAGCACCCAGTGAGTCCTCCTTGAACGAGGCTCTTGAGCTAAGTAAGGGACAGAGGGCCAGGTGATAAGGGAGACATCCAAAGTCTCTAGTTCTCTGCTTTGGGTGAGTGGATCATGAAGCAAACACCCAAAAGCGACATAACGTCAAACTCTTCTCTTGGAATAAAGCTACTCATTTTTCAGGGCCCACTTTCAAGCTTCACCTCAGGAAGGCACCCTGACCCAGGCCTGGGACAAGACCTTAGTTATGCTCTCCTAGCACCTCACATGCGTCTTCTGTAGCACGCTGGTCACTATGGTAACCACTGCAGGACTACTGGTTTAATGCAGGCTTTCTCAACTGCACGGTGGCATTTTGGACTGGATAATGCTTTGTTGAGGGAGGCTGTTCTGTGCACTGCAGTGTGTTTCAGCAGCATCACTGACCTCCACTCACCAGCTATAGGTAGCACCCTCTCAATTATGACAAGTGTCTTTAGATAGACACTTATCAAATGTCCCTGGGGGGAAAATGACCTCAGGGTGAGAACCCCTGTTGTAACACCCATCTCCCCGGTTAGAGTGGACATTCTGGGAGGGTGGTCCAGCTCCGAGACCACATTTCCTCAGTTCCTCAGCCTTGCATTCACTCCCCCAGCCCTAGACCGAGCTGCACACCACCTGAGAATGAGTCCACCTTCCTTTTTAGAAGATTCTCCTCTGTGGGCTAGGACAGCTTGAGGGCAGAGACTGTATCTCGCTGGCTTTTGAACCTGCCAGGCCCACCCCGGCTGGCCTTCAGGTGCCAGGAAACGGTGCCGGGCACAAATGGAGGATGGACGGGGCTTCTCAGTGCTGCGAGGCAGCAGGTGCACGACGCCATCCTTCTCAACAGGGATGCTTTCTACTGGTTTGTTTGTTTCTGAGAAGTTCAGACTTTATTGGCTACCCTGAGGCTGGTCTTGGGGAAAGCCTCGGCTGGTCCACAGCTCTCCTGGTGGGAAGTGACAGCGAGGAGAGGAGCAGCCTAGGGAAGGTCGAGGGCCCAGACTGAGGGGCCAAACGCAGTCCTGTTGACCCACCTCTTCGCTCCGGCTCCTTTGGGATATCATATGGTGAGAATCTGTTTTGAGGACAGGAAGGGCTGCATGGAGGTTTCCAAGGCACTCTGGTAGTCCTCCAGGGGGACCTCAGAGCAGGCAGGAGCCGTGAGCTGGCCTCGGTGGATGAGGTCGCACAGAGTGAGGATCAGCTCCTTGAACTGGCCTGTGGGGGGGGAGGGGACATCAGAGGGGTGCAGCAGCAGCAGCAGGGCTGGGGAGACAGCTGGTAGGAGCTGGGGCTGAGCTCCAGGAAAGCCTGGAGAGCCCAGGGCTTGGCCACAGAGAGGGTGGCTGTGGAGGCTGCCTGGTCCCCACCTGTTTTCAGGACAGTGACAGCCATGGTGGGGATGGAGGAACATGGGGAGTGGCCCCAGGAACTGAGGGCAGGCTGAGTGGTGGCTCGGACCCACAGAACCTGACTGGGGTGTAACCTGGAGTCTGAATGGAGGGAGGGGCAGGATTACTTCTGGGCAGGGAAGCCAGAAGAGGCACGGGGAGGGAGGCGGGTGTGCCAGCCACACTTACTAATGTGGAACAGATGAGTTTTGCTCAGGAAAAGGGGCTCTCTCTGAGAAGCAGCACTCCCTTAGAACCCCATGAGTTGAGGCCGCTGACATCCCCTTCCACCAAGGACCCACCACGGTACAGGAAGATGAGTGAAGGCCTTGGCTGAGAAGTGTTTTTCAGACATCAGTTCATTCAACATTCACATCTGATCCTTTGCCCTGCCTAAAACACTTCATTGGCTCCCTAACTGCCTTTAAGATAGAGTCTAAACTCCTCAAAAGATTTATAAGGCCTTTTATAATGTGGTTACAACAAATGGATCCAGCTTCCCACTCTCTGATGGGCTTTTGCACATGCTAGTTTTTCTATCTGAAACACTCCATTCATGCCACCACTCTCCTCTGCTTCACCTGGATAGCTCCTTGTCATTTCTCAGTTTCAGCTTGGGGATCACTCTCTGGGGAGCCAGTCCTCCAGGACAGGAAGAAGAGTGTCCTGGCTTGGGTTCTGGAGTCACGTCCTCTCTGCACCTCTCCCTAGGTGGGGTGGCTTTGGGCAAGCTACTCAACCACTCTGAACCACAGTTTCCTCTTCTGTCAAACAGGGCTAACAATAGTTTAAACTATTATGACATTTCAACTGAGGCAGAGGTTAAGTAACTTGTCCAGGTCCCAAGTGAGGCTAGGCAGAACCTATAACCAGAAGTGGCACAGCCCAGGCAGGCTGGCTGCAGGACTGGTTTTCTTTACCTGGTTGTCTTCCGTGGCAGTCGTCCCCACTGCCAGCTCCTCAAGGACGGGGCAGTGTGTGCCTTGTCCAATGTTATGACCCAAGAATGAGCCCACGTTAGTCCAATAGTTCTTTGCTAGCTGTAGCTGTGGTTAGAGGCTGCTTTCCTTTACGCTGTTGCAGGGTTGGGGTCTAATCACCTCTCCAGGGCTCAGAGAGGCTGGTCAGTTCTGCTGCAGGTACTCCCTCTCATGTGACCCCTGGCAATGGGGCCACCATGCACTCACCTGGACTGTGGTCCTTCTTCCACTGGGACAACCAAAAGCCACGAAGTTTGAGATCCTTAAAAATGAGCTGGCTCTGTGGACACAGGAAGGATATACTGGGCTCTGAGAGCAAGCACTTTAGACATTACTTAAGCACTTTAGACATTCTTCCCCCAGGGGCAGGGAGACATCTCCAGGCCTGCCTCCCCCACCAGCTTACCACAGAAGCTATGATGGGCTGCTTGGCCATCCCCCCATAGGTCACCATGGTTCCTCCAGGCCTGAGGAGTCAGAAAGAACAATGGGTGCAGGCAGACTCGGAGCCCGTCTGGAACCTGCCATAGTGCTTCTATTCCACCCGAAAGCCTAAGCCTTGCCTTCAGAATCCCTGGGAAGGGTCCAAGGTACGGATTCCTGTGCCCTACCCCAGACCTAATGAACCAGGAGGCGAGGGTCTATGTTAAAACAACAACAACAATCCCCCCTCTAGATGACCTGGATGCTTAGGCAGGATGGGAACCCACTGATCTAACCACCCAGCCAGGCTCTGATGGGTGCTGCAAAGACGCGTGCTCTCCTGAGGAAATCCAAAGACCCGAGTTCAGGCTGGCTCTGCGCCATGTACAGGTTTGCCACTGTGGGCACGGCACCGACACTGGTCCAATCACTCCTTCCCCCTACAACAGGTGACATGGGATTGCAGTTGCCTTGGAGGTGGCTAGGAGCTGGGCTGAAGAGGCGTGCTCACAATAACTCAGGTCAAGCCTGGCTCTGCCACTCCCTAGACCTTGGGTAGGTGGTTCCTCTCTCTGGGCCTTGTAGAAATGGGGATGGGCACAGTAGCCCTGGCCTAGGTGGCTGTGTTGGGGGGGTACCTCAAGCTCTCTGCACAGAGTTCAGTGCATGGTAAACTCTCATTGTTTTCACAGCTCTTTGATCACATCTTCCCATCCAGTCTGTGAGTTCTAGCCATCTCTATACCCCGACTGATTGGGCTGGGGGTTAAACCTGAAACCCAGTATGTGCCCTTGACCGGGAATCGAACCCTTGACCCTTTGGTCTATGGGCTGACACTCTAAGTACTGAGCTACACCAGCCAGGACTTGTTAACTAATGTTGTTTAGGGGATTCCTGCTTTAGCTGGGAAGTGTCCTTTCAGGCTGACTTCGGTTGAGTTTCCAGTAAAGGACAAGGCTGGGAGGACGCGCACTGTTAACGGTGCTTATCCCCCTCAGTGTGGGACGACAGGTAACTTTCGTACTTTAATTTTTCCTGTGTACTTTTATACGCTTTCAAAATGTTTGTAATAAGTATCATGTTACCTCTAAAATTAGAATCTATTTTTAAAAGCTAATAAAAAATTTAAAAGCTAATAAGCTAGGACTAAGTGACTTTTTAAGATGCCCTTAGGTTATGAATCCTCAACCATTCCCCTCTCACAGGGAGCCTGGCAGTGGGTCCCTTGGAAAAACACAGCTGGGTGGGCTCTCAGGCACCTTTAATGAAGGTGGCTGAGAAAGGAAATGCCTGGATAGCTAGGACGTGACCTTGGCCCCAGTTTCCTACTCAGGGTGCTGCTGACCTGGCCCTGGCTCACACTGCTGCCAGGACTGGTCACCTGACGGCCCTCCCAGCTGCAGGCCTGGAGGCGGCCGGCGAACCGGACCCGCAGGGCCGAGGGACTTACGCTAAGTGCCGCAGCAGCTCTGTGGAGCTTTTCCCACCGACACAGTTGAGAGCGAGCCGTGGCTGAGGCATGTCCTGGAACATAAGGAACCGCGGTGAGGGAGCTAGCACTCTACACGTGGGGCTGAAGCTGCTACAAACAGCACTTCCCTGGTCCAGGTGTCAGAAGGAGGGAGTGAGGAAAACGGACGCTCTTGCCCTAGAACTCTCTCTCTTCCCTGCCCAGGAACGGCCTTTTCTTGACCAACCTAATCGTGCTATCTGTTTGAGAAGTTCACTCAGGACTCACTTCCTCTGGGAGAGAACAGACCTACCACCCATTTCCAAGGACTGCATTTCCCGGAGTGCGCCTCTTCTCGGCCCTTGGAATTCAGTGGAGACTAGGACCCTGCTTCAGAAGTGTTCTTGAGAGGCGTGTGCTCGAGGGACTGTGTGTGTGTTCGGTTGTCCGAGTTCAGTGGAAAGAAGCTGAGATGGGGCTTGGTCACTTACTAGGTGCGCAGGGGGCGGAGGTTCTGGAAGGTTCAGAGGCTGTGAGTTCAAAGAGACCTGGGGCCAGCCCTGACTCCACCACTTAAGACTGTGTGGCCTTGGTCAATCTTGGTCAATCCTTTATCTTTTCTGAGTCTGGGTTTCCTCATCTATAAAATAGATAGCACCTACTTTGTAGAACTTCTGTGGGACTCTCAGAAAAAATGTAAGGTAGGTACCCAGGAAATGTTACTTCTTTCCTTTTTTTTTTTTTTTTGTTAATCCTCACCTGAGGATATATTTTTTCATTGATTTTTAGAGAGTGGAAGGGAGGGAGGAAGGGGGAGAGAGAGAAACATAAATGTGAGACACATTACCTCCTGCGTGCCCTAGCCCGGGCCAGGAATCAAACCTGCAATGCTTTGGTAGATGGGCTGACACTCTAACCACTGAGCAACACCAGCCAGGGCACTTGTTTTTTCTCTTTCCTCTCTGTGCCTCAGTTTCCTCAGGTCCTCTCCCAGTTCTGAGATTCACATCGACTGTGTGGACTGATAGAGCCCACCACAATATTCAAAACTGCAAACCACGAAGGGTCTCCCCCTCCCGGCCCTCTGTCCTGCCTCCCTCACAGCATCTGGGCACTGCCCGCACGCTGTCCTGGCTGAGGCTGGGCTTTCTCCTTCCACGAAGAGACGAAGGGAAGGTGTAAGAGCAACAGTGAGGCCAGGCCCCAGCTTTTCTAGTTCAAGTCACCTTTCTTCAGGGAGGTGCGCATAGCATGGACGTGCAATGTCCCCCATCCCAGGTACCTTGAAGAAGTTTTTCATCTCATGCTTCCTCAGTTCCTCTTCTGTGATAACATGCTCGGCCCCCAGAGTCTTCAGTCTGTCAGTCAGCTTCTGGATGTCAGGTCTGGAAACCAAACACAATCCGTGGTCACATCTGCTCAGTATCTCCACCGAAGGCTCCTGGGCCTGCTCTGCCACAGCTGTGAGAGCGAGTTTCTCTGGGGAAGCTGGCACTGGGCTTCAGCCTTGAGCAGGGCCTGGCCACCCAGTTTCATCATGCTCCAGCATCTCTTGGCCTCAGTTTCCTCCCTGGCAGGAGAGAACGAGGCTGGGTGGTTTCTACGGCTCCTGCCAGATCAGGGTACTAGAAACCATATGTGCCCGGGAAGAAGTAATTTCAATTCCTGATTTTTTCTACCGAAACAACAAACTCCATATCCTTTCTGCCCCCATCTTTTTTCAAGGGGATCTGCAGAGTGTTGTGCAAATATACTCCAGCCCAGAAGTGGCTCTGGGACTCTGATCAAGGCAAACAATAATCTTTAAAAAAAATATTTTTTCTTTATTGATTTTAGAGAGAGAGGAAGGTAGAGGGAAAGAGAGAGATGGAAACATCGATGAGAGAGAACACTGATGGCTGCCTCCTGCATGCCCTCCATTGGGGATCAGGCCCACAGCCTGGGCATGAGCCCTAACTGGGAATGGAACCGGCGACCTCTTGGTGCATGGGTCGATGCTCAACCATGAGCCACACTGGCCCGGCAACAATAATTTTTTTAGCACAACCAAGGGGATAGAGAACTGAGGCAAGAAAAAACTTTGCGAAGACTTGTGGATAAAAAGGGGCCACATGCCTACCTGATAAGCTCAGGAGAGGCCTGTGTGGTAGCACTGCAAACTCAGAGACCTAAAGTAACCACAAAGATGGTCTGAAATAAAAAAATTTTAACTAAAAGCTGTTTATGACATGTAGTCATGTCCTAGGCTGGCATCTTCCCTGATAAAGTTCAATCTTTATCTTAACTAAGCCTGTCTACTGTCTTTTTGCATCTACAATAGTATATCTTTGGAATGTCAAAGTAATTTTCCTTTTTCCAGACCCTTCAAAGCACAGGCACTGCTCTGCAGAGACCACAAATCCCCTCATTGTTACCGAGTTAATTACTGATTGTTAACTATCCTGTACCCACCTCTGTAAAAGATGTTGTCTATTATTTTACTTTTCATCCAATCCTAGAGGATTCCCCACTTCAATTTCTCCCACCTCCCTAACCTGTCACCAGTGAATTTCATATAACTCTCTGTGTCTGCTTTGTTTTTTTTAATCTTCACCTGAGGATATTTTTCCATTTTTGTTCAGATAGAGTGGGAGGGAAAGAAGGAGAGAAAGAGAAACATCGACATGAGAGGGACACATCAACTGGTTGTCTCCCACACAACCCCAACCAGGGCTGGGAACAAACCGCAACCAAGGTACATGCCCACAGCCAGAATCAAACCCGCGGCTCATTGGTCCGTGGTCTGATGCTCTAATTGCTGAGCCAAACTGGCCAGGGCTGCTCTTTTGATTGTAATGTATAAGATAAGGTGCAAAACTCGCCCTGGCCAGTTTGGCTCAGTGGTTAGAGAGCTGGCTTGCAGACTGAAGGATCAAGGGTTTGATTCCTGGTCAGGGGCACATACCTGGGTTGCAGGTTCAATCCTCAGCCCCGGTTGGGGTTGTGTGGGAGGCAACCAATCGATGTGTCTCTCTCACATCAATGTTTCTCTCTCTCTCTCTCTCTCTCTCTCTCTCTCTCTCTCTTCACTCGCTCCCTCCCTTCCACTCTATCTAAAAAAAGGAAAAATATCTTTGGGTGAGGATTAACAAAACAAAACAAAACAAGAAACAAAAAAACCCTGCCAGTCTCTAGAGCATTATCTCAATCTGTTGAGATTTTGCTTCCTGACAATTATCAATAGTTAGCCTCAAATAAACTCACAAAAATTCTTTATAGATCTGACTATTTCTTATGTTGACAGACTGGACTTCCGACTGACATGGCCACACTCGTGGACAGCTGGCTCGAGGAAACTCTATGCTGTGAGGGAAGGAGAACAAGGCAGGAAATGAAGTCTGTTACTGACTTGCTGTGACTCCCTGAGCAAACTGCTTCTCTCTCCGAAACTTCAGTTTCCTCATTTGTAAAACAGAGATGACAAACCTGTCCTATCTCCTTCAATCCGTATTTAGAGCAATTCCAAGTACCACACAAATAACAAGGAAAAGAAAGGGCCCTGTGTTGGTTCACAGAAAGAATAACACAGCTTAAAACATTCCCAAATACAAACTCTAGTTTTGAAAACATGGAGCTATCACAAGTCAAGTTTCCAAAACTCCTAGTGTTCAGTAATGACAGCCCAGGCCCTCCACCTCCTTCCTGCCCTCCCTTTACATTTCAAAGACTCATCCTACAGCCAAAAGCCACCTGGACTCATTTCTCAGGGCTGACAGGGTCCGCTGGGAGAGGAGGCTGCTTATGCAAGGGCGCCATCTGGTGGAGATGCAGGGATGCGCGGTGGAAAGGCTCAGGTCAGATCAGGGCTTCAGCCTCCTCACGCACCTGTCTCGGACCACATTGATGGTCCTCAGGCCCAGGGCTGCGGCGATCTGGATGACTGCTTGCCCCACTCCACTGTTGGATGCGTTCTGGATGACAGAATCTCCTGTGGAGCCAGGAAGAGATTCGAGTCAAGCCCTGGAGACCTGTAATAGGGTCAAGGGCTTCCAGCCTGAGATCCTATTAAGGCAAGAGATGGAGTGCTTAGTCTCAAAGGGGAGCTGGGACCAGGCTGCTGAGCCTTCTCAGACCTTGGAGTGTTGCTCACTCTTCTCCCACTGACCCCAAACTTCTACAACACCCACGGTGCGTCCTAACACTCAGCAACTTAGAGTCTGCAGTGGATATAATTTAGACCCTCCTGTGTAAATGATTTTGCATCCTTCATCATCTTCCAATTTTTATGTCCTCAAATCTCTGCTTATGTTATTTCCTTGTTCAGTGCTTTCCTCTTCCTTTCTCCATTCGTTTTGAAATCCTTGGCAGCGCAACTCAAGCGTGGCTTCCTGCATGAAGCCCGTCCAGACTCTTCCCTCTGTGCTCCCGCAGCTCTCTGCAGGCACCTCCGTTGATGTGCACAGTCCGCCTCCTCGTCTGCCTGGTGCTCTACAGGTCCAACTGTATCAGGAGCTTGCAGCTTGAGGGGAAGGCCATGCCCTATTGCCCGCTTTGTACTGCTTAATAAAGGTGCATTGGAATGGGACTAGAGCCATACTGGAGAAACCAGCAGCCCCTGAAACAGGGTACTACAGTATGTGGTCTAAGCCCAGGCCTAGATATGGAATCAGTCAATGGGGGAAGGCAGCATGGCATGTTGGGGAAATGTGGGCTCTGGAGTGAGACGGGCCTGGGTATGAGCCTCAGCTTCACCACCGACTGTAACTGAATGAGACAGGGCGAGTCATGACCGTTTTGAACCAGTTTCCTTTCCATAAAACAGGAATCCTCCAAGCATCATTCAGGATACTCCCAATTAGAGTCAATGCCGTCATGTCCAGGAAGGTGCTCTGTTCGCCCCGAAATGCTATCTGAGTCTTGAAAGGCAGCGGATCTGGTGCTAGAGACAAAGCACTTCCTGGAAGAAGAATGCCCATTCTCCTTGGCCAGGCTCAGCATACAAGTTTTCCCTCACAAGTGGGTTATGAAATCAGTGTAGGGTTGCAAACAGCACTTTTAAAAAAGTTAAAATAGAGGAAAATAGAATAAAAAACAGCAAAATACATCACACATAGTGAAGGTAAATACTGTTCCATAAAACTTTGGTTTCCATTATATATTTATTCATGTGTGTCTGTGTTCTAGATTTCACTGTAAACCGTAATTTTCACTGTGTGTCAAGATCGTACATTTAACACTGATCTAGCTTAGGCCACACCAACCCTGAGGCGGGAAAGTGGAGATGCAGGTGGGAACCTGAGGTGGGGTGGTGTCAGAAGGCCCTGCTGTGTCCACCAGAGCCATGGGCCAAATCAGAGGTGGCTTGAAGGGACGAGACGCAGGTGACAAAAGTGTCTGCTGCACTAGGACTTGAGCAAAGGTCCCTGGTCGCACCTGCTGGCTTTCTCCACTAGTTTGCTCAGACGGATCTGCCACAGCTGTGAGCACCTGCACTTCTGTTTGCGAGAAGCTGGGACAGGTTTTCAACCAGCTTTGGGCAGCAGTGGTCACCGTATTCCATATCTCTTGGTTTCAGTTTCCTTGTTGGCATAACGGAGCTAGACTGGGTGACTTCCGTGGTCCTACCAGCTTGCAGATATGCAATGTGCGGGGTAACCATCCCACAGTGCAGCATGAGAGTCGGCGGGGAACCTGCTGTCATTGGAGGTTAATCCTGACGTGGGTTCTACGAGGGTCATAAGAAGGCCCGCCGGCAGGACTGAGCCCCCATCGCCCACAGCAGTAACCAGCCTTCACTGGCTTCTCCTCCCCCTGCCTCACTCTCTCGGCTCCCTCACTCCCGCTTCCTGGGATCACCTGCCCAGTGGACTGTGTCCCAGTCCCTGTCTCAGAGTGCTTTCAGGGAACCACAAATAAAACACCTGTCATTTCCTTGCTGAGTGATCTCATACAAATCATTCACCTCTCTGGACCTCCGTTTCCTCATTTATAAAAAGGCAGAATAATGAAAGCAGTTGCCAGGCCCGGTGCTAAGTGTCACACTCAGAATTCCTGTTCTCCGTTCTACAGATGGAAGACTGGATGAGTTGAGAGGTCAGCTCACACAGTTAGTGAAAGGTGAAGCCAGAGTTCAGACCTAGGTTGTTAGCCCAGGGCTTGAGCTCTTAACCAATGGTACCAGCCTCACTGCCCTGCTTTGGCGATGCAATGCATTCAATGTGGTAATGCTTGTAAAGGCACTTACGTGAACTGGAAAGTGCTATATGAATGCTGAGTGGAATTACTAAGTTCAGCACTTTACTGAAAACACAGGGACTGTGTCTATCTTGTCTGGCTTTGTATCCCCGGAGCTTAGCACAGCTCGATACGTTCTTGCTGAATGACCGATTTCCATCCCAAGCTCTAGGAATGTGATCCTTCAGCAGTTTTCCAGAGTGTGTATTCCTCATGAGGTTTCAGCCTCTTTTCTAGGGACCAACCTAACACCTTTCTCAGCAAAAGCAACAACAACATACTCACTCAAGTCAGGGCCCCCGTCCTCCTCTCCCTTAAGTTAAGTTCCCGTGGCCTCCGGGCCAGGGTTTGGGGAGCCTGGCCTGCCCCCCCCCCCACCTGCAGGTTCCTACCTGGCTGCAGCTGCTCAAAGTCCATCAGCATCCTGTAGGCCGTGCAGGGGTTGACACCCAAGGTGGCAGCACTGTGAAGAGGGATGTCGCTTGGAATGCTGAGCAGTGCTTCCTCGCTGAACACAGCCTCGGTCCGCCAGGTTCCTGAGTCAAGGAAGGAGATCAGGGCAGTGAGGAGCCTCTCACCACACTCAACCCTGGTCCACCCTCCTCAGGAAATGGGCATCGAGGACCGAGGACCAAGGACCGCAGACTTCAAGTTACACCTAGAGGACAAACAACATCCTGAAGTCCTTTTGAATGTCTCTGAGTCCTCATGATAAGGAAGCAAGGTGTAGATTTTGTTATCCCCACATTGGATTTAGCTAATGTCACTCGGCAGGTGGCTAAGGATCTCAAACTACTGGACTCTGAGGGTAAGACAGTAATGTCATTATCACAAAGAAGAGAAAAAAAAGTGCTCATTTTCCTACTGGGTCCTCCTACTTCTCACCCAGGGCAGGTTGATTTGGGGTGGGATTCTGGAAAAAAGCATGAAAGAAGTTGAAGGCCTAGGTCTGGGACCTGGTTTTGTTGGGCAAATCCCTAAGTCACTTGAGTTTTGGTTACTCTGAAATATAAGTGACATTAGCAGGAAGCGCCCGAAAGGCCTTGGAGAGCTGCTGCACATATCACATGAGATGAGGGTGACGAAAAACTCCACTAAACTGAAAAGAACTGATCACGAACCCCATCCCACATTCCAGTTCTAGACAAAAGAAGTGTAAAATGTCAGTACTGCGAAGGCCCTTAAGAGTACCGAGTTTAAGCTCCTCATTCAACAGGGCAGGAGACGGAGGAAGTGACTGCAGAGTCCCTGCTTAGTCTGGGCTGTCCCCTTCCAGCTACAGATACCTACCCACACCTACTATGAGCCAGGCTTTCATGGAGCTCCCATTCTAGTGGAGAACAAGTGAGAAACAAAAGAGCAATTACAGTAGTTATAAATTACAGAGAGATAGAGTAACAGTGGAGAGAATGACTTCAAATGGGAGTCAGGGAGGGACAGCTTCCCTGAGGAGGTGACAGGCTAAGAGCAAAAGGAGAGAGATCTTAGCCACTCAAGAACCTCCGAGGCAGAGGAGACTCTGAGGCAGCACAGATACAAGAATGGAACGGGAGGACAGTGACGGGAAGGGTGGTGAAGATGTGGCTGAGGTGTCGTGGGCTAAATGAGTGTTTTATAGAATTTCAAGATCTGGACCCATGGGAACCATGAGTTATGTTGTAACTCAGTACATATGCATATCTGAACATCTGTCTGTCTGACTGTCTATCTATCTATCTTGGAAGTCAAGTAAAAAATTTTTTTCCCATTGATTTTTTATTTTTTAGAGAGTGGAAGGGAGATATATATATAGAGAGAGAAACATGAGCCCTGGCCGGTTTGGCTCAGCGGTTAGAGTGTCGACCTGTGGTCCAGAGAGAAACATGAATGTTGAGAGAGACACGTTGATTGGTTATCTTCCACACGGTGCTGGTTGGGGCTGCGGAAACCTGCAACCCAGGCACGTGCCCTTGATCAGAATCAAACGCGAGACCCTTTGGTTTGTGGGCTGATGCTCTAACCGCTGAGAAAAACTGCCTAGGGCAGAAGTCAAATTTTTCATAAAACAATATTTACCCTACTGTCTTATTCTTTATTTTATTCTGTTTGATTTTAGTAAAAAAAAATTCTGTTTGCAACTCACTTGATTGATTTTGCTAGTGGGTCACAACCTGCAGTCTGAAAAACATAGGGCTCAGGGTCGTGGCAGGGAGAACGGCTCTTATTTTGGGGAACGAGAAGTTTCTAATGAGCTTTAAGAGAACTCTGAGGCCATCAGATTTATGCTTTAAGGACACCTTGTTGCTGTGAGGGAAAGACAGTGGGATGGCGAGGGGCAGAGTGGAATGGGGAGGCCCGATCAGGAGGCTTTTGCAGGGGTTGGATGAGAGAGTGGTTGCCTAGAACAAGACTTTGGCAGGGGGGATGGATTCAAATGATCTGTTGAAGATGAGTGATCGGGGCTGACGAGCACTGGGTGAGGCGTGACAGGTGTGCACCCACACAGGCAGGGTTCCGTATGAAGCAGTGGTGAAGAGGACAGACCTCGGAGTCAGACAGACGTCGATTCAAGCCCTGGCTCTGCCATGCACTCGCTAGGTCACCTTAGGGAAACTACCTGGAGCCTTGTTGGCTCAGAGTCTGGTGGCTGTGCTGTCTCAGGGCCTCTGCCTACATTTCCCAAGCTCTTGAGTGTGCGCGCTAGTTATCTGGTGGCTGGGGTCCTAACAGTGTCCTGGCACTGCCTGTTCCAGGCATGGGGAGTAGGGGGCAGCCTGGGTGACTACTAACTGTGCTGCAGGAGGGGAGAAACAATGTGGGCTTTAGGGACCAAGAACTGGGGACGGAAGGCAGAAACACTATTAAAGGTTGTGTTAATTCCAGAGTAGATCTGTGTCTGAGAAAATAAGAGACTGAAAAACTGAAGGATTCCTTTGGAATCCAGGAGGTGCCTTGGCATTCTCTTGGCTTCACCCACCCTGGTTTTCAAATCTTTTTTTTTTCTAATCCTTACCTGAGGATATTTTTTCCATTGATTTTTTTGGAGAGTGGAAGGAAGGGAAGAAAGGAGGGAGGTAAAGAGAGAGAGAGACAGAGACATCAATATGAGAGAGCACATCGATTGGTTGTCTCCCACATGTGCCCTGACTGGGGCCAAGGATTGAACCTATAGCCGAGGTACGTGCCCTTGACCAGGAATCAAACCCGAGACCCTCTGGTGTGAGGGCTTACACTCTAACCACTGAGCAACACTGCCCAGGGCTGGTTTTCAAATCTTCATCACCCTCTTCACAATCATCACCCCTTTCATCTTAGTGAGCATTTTACTATACTCTACCCTGCACCAATCGCGTAGTGCATGGCTTTTGTGCCTGAAATCAAGGGTGTCTTCTAATTTTCCTTAATGGCATGACTGGAAATTCAGCCCTTGAAATGGATTTCTGAGGCTTGGCTGTCCCTAATCGTCTTCTCAAGGGGAGCTGGGTGGGATGGGGACAGCGCTCATGGTGAACCGGTTGAGGTTCATCCCTGGCCCTGGTTGGGGTCGTGAAGGTGGCACCCAGTTGATGCGTCTCTCACGTGGATGTTTCCTTCTAAGGGCTTTCAGGGATTTCAAGGAGAAACCCTTAGGCTTTGGGGTTGGAGAGACCTGCTTAGAAACCCAGCTGCACCACCCACTAGCGGTGTGATTTCAAATTCTCACTTCACTATTTTTGAGTTTCACTTTTCCTGATCTATGAAATGCAGAGAATAACACTCATGTTGTAGTGTGAAGATTAAACACGGTGGCGTTTGTACAGACTATCACTGTGTCTAGTATGTAGAAGGTAACACCCCTTGGTTCCCTTGACTGGTCCTAAGCCCCATGTCCTAACTCTGAGGATAGCCATTCCTCATGCATGGGCAACTGACCCCTAACCATCTCCATCATCTGATGCAGGGTCAGCAAACTATGGCCCATGGGCTAAATCTGCTCACCACCTGCTTTTGCAAAGAAAGTTTTACTGGAACGTAGCCTTGCTCACTTTTTTGGTATTGTTTATGGCTACTTAAAATGGCAGACTTGAGCCCAGGCTGGTTTTGCTCAGCAGTTAGAGTGTCGGCCCTTGGACCAGAGTCTGGGGTTCGATTCTGACCAAGGGTAGTACGTGCCTCGGTTGCGGTTCCTCCCCGGTCCTGGTTGGGGTCATGCAGGTGGCAACCAGTCAATTTGTCTCTCTCACATTGATGTTTCTCTCTCTCTTCCTCCCTCTCTCCCTCCCGCTCTATCTGAAGATAAATGTAAAAATATCCTTGGGTGAGGATTAAAAAAAAATGGCAGACTTGAGCAGAGGTGGTATGGCTTGCAAAGCCTAAAATATTTACTAATTGGCCCTTTCAGAAAAAAGTATGCTGACCCCTGATCTAATGCATATAGAATTTTATTGTCTGCAAAGATCACCACATGTATTGCCTCAGATAAACTGCATAAGAATTAGCTGAGCTATGCAAGGCAGTGGCTATTAGCTCCATTTTAGAGATGAAGAAACTGAGGCTCAAAATAGTTGTGACTGCCCTGGCTGGTTTGGCTCAGTGGTTAGAGCATCGGCCTGAGGTCCAGAGAGACCCGGGTTCGGTTCCCGCTAAGGGCACGTACCTCGGTTGCAGTTTGTCCCCGGCCCTGGTTGGTTGTGCTGGTGGCAGCCGCTCGATGTGTCCCTTTCACGTCGATGTTTCTCTCTCTCTCTCTCCCTCCCACTCTGTCTGAACAAAAAATGAAAAAAATGTCCTTGGGTGAGGATAAAAAAAAAAAATTTTTTTAAATAGTTGTGACTTAAGGTCATACAGGGTACGCGAAGGAGAACCTGTATCTGATCCCCAGGCCAGTGCTCCTTCTCCAGCCACATGCTGCTTCGGCAGAGTTCTCTGTGTGTCCAATGAGAAAGTCAGTTCACACATTTTCTGGCCCCGTCTCCCTGGGGACTAGTTGGGTTGCATGTGGGAAAAAGCTGGTTATGGCCATAGCAACAGCTGGGCAGCTCAGTACCATAAAAAATGATGACGATTTGGCCAGTTGAGGACTAATCTGCTTACTGATTGCCACTCTTAGTAAACTGCAGCCTTCAGTGGAAGAAAGACCATGTCTGTTCACTACTGTATGCTCCAGCCCAGCACACTACAGATGTTCACATGATGTTTACTGAATAAACTGAGCTAATTATAGTCCCGATAATTATAAAATTCACATCCTCTCTGACTGGCACCTGGTTTAAAAGACTCACCTTTTCTCCAGGGAGAAATCCCCGTTCTGGCTACCACCACCACCACCCATGCAATTACCCATACACCTGGCAGATGTCTTTTGTTCTCCTCTCTAAATCTAATTACCAAGTCCTATTACTTTAGCTCTTAAATCCACCGTCTTCTCCAGTCCCATGGAACTGTCTTGTTCAGACACTCATCATCCGAAGCCTGCAATGCTCAGCCACCTCCTTACTGGCTTCCTGCCTCTACCCTTCCTGGGCATTCTCTGCTGTGCACAAATCTGATCAAATCATTCCTCTTCTTAACTCTTCATCCCTCTGACCGTGGATGTGAGCTCTCCATGGCTGGGCTCCAGCCCACCTCTTCAGCCTCATCTTGCTTCTCCACCATCCCTCCCCGGACCCAGCCAAACTGAGCTACCTGCAGCTCTGCACGCCGTGCCTTCCCCCATCACCAGACCTTTGCAAGTGCTGCACTCACTGCCTGGAAAGCCCTTCCTCACCTACCCCCTGGCTGCACTTGTGCTCAGTCTCCCAGCCTGAGTTCAAGCATCATTTCTCCGGGAAACCTTTCCTAAAGCTGCCCGAGGCAGGGGACTCTTGCCTTTGTGTCCATCCTGTGTAACAGCACTTATTATACTGCACTGCATTAAGTGTTGCTTTCTGTTCCCAGCCAAGAGCACTTCGCGGGCAGAGACTGTCTGTCGTGTGCTCTTCACTCGGCTCGAGGGCTGGCCCAAAGCGCAGGCGGTAGCCAGCGAATCCTCGCAGCCCTGATTCGCTCCCACGGCGAGGCTTCCACTGCCAGGCGCTGAGGGAGAGGGTGCAGCCATTCTTGGCAGCTTTCCTGATCGCAGAGCAGCAAAGAGCTTCTCGCGAGCTTCTCTTACTGTTTTTTTCCTGCCAGATACCTTATTCTTTCTGAACTACTCCTTCCTAACCTCTGGGGATGTTAAAGACAGGGCTCACCCTCTATACCACAGAGGTGGGTGAGGGACTCAACTAAGCAATTGGAGTGGCCCAACTCCGTCCCCCTGGTGATGGGCAAGGCCCCAGGCAGAGTTGGTGAGAGCCCTTCTAGGGGATGGATATGGTTGCACTGAATGGATTGTGGAGGATGTTGCTCATTTGTTAGTTCTCAGGATGATGGAAACCTCAGGATGCTGGTGGCCATCTATGAAAGGTATATAGCAGAGTGGGTTTGAATCTTAGCTCCACCACTTATTGGCTAGATGACCTTGGGCAAGTTGCTTAATCCTTTACATTTACTATTGTGTCATCTGCAAAATGGGAATAACAGTATCTACCTCATGTGGGAATAATTGAGTTAATTATGTGAAGTACTCAGAACAGTGCCTGGTGCAAAGAGAGTGGCAATAACTATTTGTTGCTATCACTGTATCACTGTGCGGGGAGATCCCATCTGAGAACTAAGGAGAACAAGAGGAGCTAAGGGTCCTGGACTCAGCTGTGCCTGAAGCTTTCCATCTCTTGCACTTCCCAGTTCCACATCCCGATTAACTTTTTTTTTTTTTTTTTTTTTCTGTAGAGCAAGTGCTTGTTGACTCTGGGACGAAGCTATCACCCATAGAGTTCTAACACTGGAGGGTGTCAGGAACAACGGAGGAGACAAGAGTCTGGTGAGCTCTCCTTCAGTTTGCTGTTTATGTTTTTAAGCTCCAGTTCCTCGTATGTCCCATGGGACTGATGGCATCTGTCCTGCTTCCCTCTTATGGCTGCTGTCACCATCCATTGTATAATGTTTGTGCCTCAAAAACCATCAAGTGTTAAATAACTCAGCAACAATTCCTTAGTACAAATAAAAGAAGACCTGAACTCTTAGCTTGGCCTTTGCAGGGCCTCCCCCATGTGGCCCCACTACCTTGTGGCCCTTTTTCTCACTTATGCCATCCTCTCCCACGGGCACATCCTCTGCTGAGGCTACACGGATTTCCCACCACTTCCCAAACTCACCTTCGTGCTTTTGCTCATTTGTTTCCTCCAAATGCAGTGATGTTTGGCTCATCTCCATCTAACAAAATTGATCTTTCAAAGGTCTGTTCTAATGAGGCTCGTCCAGGAAGCCCTGGACCCTCCCTAAGGCTGTCTCTCCCCCTACAGGCACACAGGGAACCAGAAGTGTATTCTGCTTCCTGTGAACTTGTATGAACTCCCTTTATGAGCTTATTGGTTTGAAGAGTTCTTCAGTTAGATCTTAACCTCCTGGAGGGCAGGGGCTGTGTTATTTGTGTTCCTCATTGTACCTTACAGCAGGGATTTAGGGATTCAGAGAATCAGCTCCAGTCAACATGGGCCCAAGGAGATGGGCGAGCAGGTATATCGCCTTCTGAGCAAGAGACAGGACTTCTGCGCTCCTTGTTCAGCTCCCACCCTCCTCCTATATGGACTTAATATTAAACCCTGCATTGCTTAGTTACACTAATGAGCTACAGTGTGAGTGAAATATCTACAGTGTGAGTGAAACAGGATCTGGAACAACTGCAGATACCTGGAAAACTCACCCAAGCCAGCAGTTGCCGGAATCACCCAGTCTCCTGGCTTCACCGCAGTCACACTGCTGCCCACTGCGACCACCTGTCCGACGCCTTCATTCCCTCCGACAGCAGGCAGCTTGGGCAGGAGGCCGTAGTTTCCTATGGGAGAAGAGCACAGAGGGTCATCCAACGAGGTGTGGGCAGTGAAAGCATGAACTTTGGAGTCAGGCCTAAGCTCGACCTTTGACCAGCTGTGTTAACTACCCGCCTTCTCCGAGCCTTAGTCTGTAAAGGAGGATACTACTCGTTTGTATTCTTGGTTATTAGGAAGACTGGATAAGACAATGTGTGAGATGAGCCCAGCATACTGCAGGCACACCACCCTGGCTGGTTTACTCCTCCTGCAATCTTCCTAACTCCGAAAAGCCTCACACCCAGGGAGGGGAGGCCAGAGGGGCTCACAGTCTGCAGATGGTGCATCTGGAGAACAGCTGCTGCTAATCATAGGAATTTCACACCCACACCTGAGGAGGAATGAAAATGAGGTGGTGGCTAAGCAACAAAAGCCAATTAACATAAGCCACTGAAACCAAGGTTACCTTGGATCATATTTATGTCAGATGGATTGATAGGGGCCGCCAGCATCTTCACATGGACGTCTGATCCGCCCACAGCAGCTAGCTCCAGGCTCTTCAGTCTAAGCACAAAGCCAGAGAGAGATGTTAATGTCACCCGGGCTAGACAGGGAGCCTTTTGCTCAAAGCACCTCCCCAGAGTAGGTCAGGCAGCAACATTTTTTTGAGCTGCCATTATGTGCCCAGGAATTCGGGTTCTGTTAGAAAAGAGAAAGGTGCTATAAGGAATTAGCACAGGATATGGCTTAAGTCTGTCGTTAACTGCAAAGGGGAGATGCCTAGTGACCTCTCAACCTCACTGTCCACTCTAGGACAGAAAATCGTTAAAAATTCCACTGGCCCAGATTAGCCTTGTGTTTCCCCAAACTTGTTTATCACCTGGTGTGCTTACTAATGTAGGTTCTCAGGCCCCAGCTCTGACCTGCTGAACTAGAATCTCCAGAGAGGGGCACCCCAAGTAGTTCTTAGGAACAGGCACAACTGGGAAACCCTGGCCCTCATAATACACATAGGGGAGCGAAGGGGGTGAGGGAAGTAGAGAGATGGTCTTTGCAGGTCAGAAAGGACTCCCTGGGTGACTGTGGTTCTCCCCCTGGAGTGATGTTCCTTCTGGATGAGGATCCTGGCCAGAAAGGATGCTGGCCAGATTGCTAAGCCTGGTAGGTATGAAACCCTGCCATGTGATGGCTATGTCACCACCCTGGGCAAGTTCCCTTCTTGCTGGAGGCCTGTGTCTCCATGTGTAAAACGGGAGGTGGTGGTGGTTTGCACTCCATCACTTCCAAGAGCATCTCCCATTTCAAGTCCCCGCGATAATCTCCTTTGATCACAGTGGGCTCTAGACACCACTGGAACTTTGGTTAATGGGTAAAACCTGCCAAAGAGCTTTTGAGGGTGGCCTGGTGACAACGTCCACTGTTACTTTTGTTCTTTTTTTTTTTACACAAAAGGAGACCTTCCAACCAGAAAGCACTGATCAGTGTATAGCAGGTCCCTGTGACTTTTATTACCAGACTCCTTTTCCTTCTCCACCCCTGTCAGACTTTGTTTGCAATGCTTTCTCTGCCCAAATGTACTTGTTAAACAATAACCCTCTTCATTTTTACTCACTGAGGGCACACATAACTGCCAACCAGAGGCTCTTAGCATTGTGCAACAATGTCACCGCACTAAACTGATGTAACTCTACCCATTTCCCATGAAACCCAACCTTTTAATTATACCTGAGGCTCCATCCTCGGGTAAAAGTGTGATTTTCAAGAAATGTCTTATACTAATAGCAATAATGGTGGCAGCTGTTTATTACACGTCCTGTGAGGAGGGCTTTAAATACATGATCTGATTGCAGATATAACACTCCTGTGAGGGAAGTAATACTATTTCCTCGCTCTCTCTTTCTCTGTGTGTGTGTGTGTGTGTGTGTATATATTATCCTCACCCCAGGATATGTCTATTGACTTGAGAGAGGGAGGGAGGAGGGAAGACGGAGAGGGAGAGGGAAAGAGAAACGTCAACTGGTTGCCTCCTGTACACCTGTACACACCTGGACTGAGGACTGAACCCACAACCTTTTGGTGTATGGCACGATGCTCCAACCATCTGAGCCACCCGGCCAGGGCACTACTTCCATTCTATTAAGTAGCAAAGAGAGGCTGCCAGAGATTATGAACTTACACATGGTAAGATAACTGGTACCCAGCAAGGCTTCTCTTTCAAAGTCGGCACTCTGTTTACCTCCCTCTGGATCAGCATTCTGCAATTAGTTTGGGAATCCCCCTGACTGCTTCAAGGACCCCTGGGGATCTGGAGATCCCAATCTGGGAATCCTTGTACCAGATTATGACCCAAGAAGGGAGGCCAACACTCTCCATGACTCAGAAACAGCTATAAAAACCAAAATAGAGTGTACAGAAAGTGGTTAAGTAGGGAGAAGTTGATGACCAGGGCAGAGAGCATAAAGAAAGGGATTTTCTTTTTCCTTTTTAGGTAAATACTAAGGAATGCATGTATTTATATACAGCTGGAGGAGGGTGGAGTCCTTGTGATAACAATAATAACTACTGTTTGAGTGCTTACCAGTGAGTCCACTCTGCTAAGTGCATTCCATGCCAGCTTTCTCCTATTATTCTGATTTTATACCTGAGGGACAAAGACTCAAAAGAGGTAGTAACTTGCTCAGGGCTACCAAAAGTAGTAAGTGGCTGATCTGATGTGACCGTGTAGTCTGATGCTAGAGAAACCAGAGGGTTAGTGGCTTACTCCAGACCAAGTAGAGGGCAGCAGGGTGAGCACCAGCCAGGAGCGGTGTGGGGGCTTGATCCTTGCTGCACGGGCCTGGGGAGGCGGAGAGGTCAGTAGCTCCCCAGGCTTCCCAGCAGGCTAAGCGGGGAGGCATCCGCCAGACAGTGATGCGTCTCTGTGAACGCACATGTGAGTCTACATTGTAAAGGAAAACCCTGCCCAGAGCACACCGACTGTGGACTAGCGGCCCCTTTCTATCATCTGTACCGCTTTTCTCTTGCATTTTGACAGATACTCAGCATTTTTCTGTAACCGACAAAGTTCATACACTCAAGCTACTTAAAAACATTTTTTTCTGCATTTTCTATATACTCTTGCCTCAGCCCAGAATTTCTTTTTCACAGCTTCTCCACAAAGTGAAAAATTCAATTCACCCTTTAAGGCCCAACTCAAATTTTACTTTCCCTAAGACATCTTTGTTTTTTCAAATCCTCACCCAAGGATATTTTTCCATTGTTTTTTTAGAGAGAGTGGGAGGGAGGGAGAAACAAACAACCCCGACTAGATTGAACCTGCAACTGAGGTACATGCCCTTGACTGAGAATTGAACCCATGACTCTTTGTTCCGAGGGCCAATGCTCTAACCACTGAGCTAAACTGGCCAGGGCCCTCTAACACATCTTTTGACCCTCTTCTTGGCCCTGAAAAAGATCACGTGCTCCATCCTCAGTGCTCCCATTCACAGAGTGATCATACCATAAGGCCATCTCACCTGAGTTCATTGTTTGTTAGTTTACTAAGTCTTTTCATACATTTTTAAAAATTGATCACAAGGTATAATCAAATCCCTTTTCCAAAATTCTTGAGGTGAGATGTACGTACTTCAGAGTTCTGAGCCATGTATTATCTACACCCCATGTGGGGGCTGGGGCAGCATTCTGTGATTAGACACATCGTTTTGCAGCAAAATGTATGACTCTTCACACTAAAGTGAAATGAATAATGACCATATAAAAAGTTCATGTTAGCGCTGTGCAGTTTTGCTCAGTGGTTAGTGTGGCGGCCTGTGGACCAAAGAGTCTCAGGTTTGATTTCCAGTCAAGAGCACATACCTGAGTTGCAGGTTCAATCCCTGGCCCTGGTTGGGGTTGTGTGGGAGGCAACCAATCTATGTGTCTCTCTCACATTGATGTTTCTCTCTCCCTCCCTCCCACTCAATCTAAAATCAATGAAAAAATATGCTCAGGTGAAGATTAACAACAAAACAAAACTTCATGTTAGAGATCAGGTTTTGCTTCCAAAAGAGTTATGAAAAAACACAAACAAACAAAGCACAAGGGTCAGTTTTCAGAGGTTTTTGGATTTTGGAGTTGCAGGTATGAACTTGGAATTGGATCCAGGTCTTTCAGACGCAGGTCAGTGCTCTTTTTACTGACCTAGTTTTATAGTCAGAACGTGCATGTGTGTGGTCTGCCTATTAGACTGTGAGCTCACGAAAGGCAGAGAACCTCCCGTCTTAGCACAGTGCCTATGACCAAAAAGGTGCCCAGTGCTTCCTAAAGGAATGATCCAAGTTTCTTCCCTAGGGAGAAAATGTGGCATAAAAATGCCAGGCATTCAGGGAACCAGGGGAGATGTTCGAACCACACGGACTCAGTTATTGAGGCTTGTATTTGCTCTTCCTGGTTTTGGGATGTTTAGGAAAACACACCTGAAGGATGGGTGCAAATAAACAATGGAGATGATCCTTAAGAGTCAGGTCTAAGCAAACGCCCATGGCTCATTTCCTCACAGGAAGGTTTAGCTTGGATTTTCAATAAAATTGCACTTCTTAAAAATCTAGACGACCATGGTCAAGATGAGAATACAGGTAGATTTCAGTTCACAGATGAACAGTAGAGGATGGAATTGGATCAAAATACACAGCCCGGGTTTGAATGCTGCCTTGGTCAGTTACCAGCTACATAACCCTCAAAATACTTGTCTGTGAAATGTGCAGCACACTAGAACCTCGTTCAAAGGAGTAAATGAGTTAACGCACATAAAACATTTGTTAGAGTGTCTGATATACAATAGACAGTGAAGACATGGCAACTGTTATTAGTCCAAGGAAACCTTTTTTTTTTGTTGTTAATCCTCACTAGAGGATATTTTTTCCATTGATTTTTAGAGAGAGTTGTAGGGGGGAGGAGAAAGAGAGACAGGGGAGGTAGAGAGAAAAACACTGATGTAAGAGAGACACATTGATTGGTTGCCTCCCGATTGACCCCAACCAGGGCCAGGGATTGAACGTACATCCCAGGTATGTCCCCTTGACCGGAATTGAACTTGAGACCCTCTGGTGCATGGGCCAATGCTCTAACCATGGGGCCATGCTAGCCAGGGCCCAAAGAAGCCTTTGAAACAGTTAGCTGGTTATACCTCTGTAAAGAATCATTGAATCACTGAAAAGAAGACAAATTTTTTGGAAAACTCAAGTAAATTTAATTCAACAGATATTTATTGACAGGCCTGTCAGGTATGGTGCCCAGGGGTTTAAAGATGAAAAAGTAAAATCTGCCCAGGAGCTTGTGGTGTGAGGACTCACACGTGGGAGAAGTGTCATCTCAGGGGCAGGCTGGTGGTGCTGAAGCCGACTGAAGTTTAACAGAGGTGAGAAACGGGCATTTGGATGAAGTGGTACCCTAGCTGGGGCTTGAAGGATAAACAGGAGTTTACTGGGTGGACTGAGAAAGGCAGGCAGGCCTTCCTGCCAGAGAGAATGGCAAAGAATCTGACCTGATGTAGTCAGGCAACAGGCGCAGTCTGGATCGGAGCCATG